TGTAATAAACAACAGGTCGGGATTTATCGTTATGTATCGTCCGTAACAGATTGTACCCGACTCTATTTATACGTTCATAGCACTTCACATGCGCATTTGCACGCGTATCTTCAACGGGCAACAGTGATTGATGATGAAAACGAACGCCAAAGCGATTTTTACAATACCGCGGTGAAATTCGTGTCGAGAATTTTCCAACGACGGGCGTACAAATTGAATATACTTTCTGTCTCTTGCGATTTCCACTCCTACTTCTTCATGTGATTTACATTTACAAATCAATCTCGGGCTCCTTGCAACATATCAAGTTATTTTTAATGCAACAATCTGTAACGAATATCGTTTCAGTAACAATTGCGTTTATCCGTCCCCTATGTCAGTTTGATATGTTTTTCTTATGAAATGTTGTATTATTTTGCTGTACATAACGTTTGCGATACAAAGATCATAGAGTTTTGTGATATCTATTTTTCTATAGAATATAGCATATATTTTTGATAGTAAAATATGCTCAGCATTAGATCAGAGTTGCACATAATATTCGTTTTCAGAATACCTTCGAATAATTATATTTCAATTTTCTATTCAGTATTATTAGCTTCTCGAAAATGCATAGAGGTATCTATGATTTTGAACATAAATTCTCGTTCACAAATTCACTTTAATTAAAATGCGAAGGCCATACCATAATTTTAACTTAATTTGTTTTTTAACATTTTCTGTTTTTAAATTTCTTCAATTTTCACTAAATGACTCCTGTTTTTCGAACATAACCTTTTTTTTTATTTATGAAACTATCATTTATCAAGGCGTCGCATCATTTCCATTAAAAATCAATTTGTCTTTACTAATTCTATGATTATAGAAGTTTTTGATTAATTTATTAAAGTCATATTTTACGGTTGACACAATACAATCAAGTATTAATTTTTCCTTTGGCTTTCTTTTTATGTATAAATTCGTCGTTTTACGTCGAAGATTTTTTAAATCTCGTTTGAAAATTATTTAAACATTTATTTAAATGGCACGCGTATTATTAATTTTGCGTTAAGTAAACTAGATGAATATAATAAAATTACACAAAAAGAATCATATAAGAGAATTGTATTAATGTAGTGTTAGTATAATAATTATTTTGTTCAAAATGAGCTAGTGTTCAGTAACTTATGAACGGGAATGTAGATGTAACAAACAAAAAATGATCGTAACGTTAGGCAAAATTGAAGAAGATAAAATAGGCATGAAATTAAACACCTGTACGTGAGAATAAGAATCTTATCTTAATAAAAGAATTTGAAAATTCAACTATTTATCTTTGCATTATATTAGATTCTTTGACACTAAGGGACAAAGTTAATACAATAAGAAAAAATAGATGAAGGTTAATTAATAATACAATTGTATTATAATTTTTATTGGAATTTTCAAAGGAAATTGTTTTAAAGGGTATTAAGTACTTAATAAATTCCATATGAATTATTAATATATTTATAATGTGTATTTATTGAACTGATAATAAAATCTTGTTATTTTATTTTTTAATCTGTGGGTTAAATTAAAATATTATAAATAAATATTAAACGGTGGGTTATTTTTATTTTAATTAAGGATCATTTGTTAACCCTAATAATTCATTCGCAATTTTCTCTAATCAAGTTATATTACTAAATTTTATTTTCTAATATTTGAACTATAGAAAGAAATTCTAAAGATTTTTAGTCTTTCAATAGTTTTTCATTGTAACATATATGTTCCGTCTTAATCAAGTGCTTTCCCACTTTTAAAAAATTCTTTTAAAATTCAAAAGACGGAGTTAATCACTATGAGTGAAGTAAAAATTATTCAAAAGAAAAAAAATCTCAGTGACAAATTAATTCGTTTTTCCCAATTAACAGGCTACACAATCACAACTTTATTGAATATACAAATATTCAAGAAAGTAAAAAATATCTTTTTTTTAAATTTCAAAAAACAATTTTAATTTGCATTTGTTTTACATAAAAGCTGATTATAGTTTCATTTATAAAGACTCTTGCTCATTAAATAATTTTTTAAACACTTGAAGAAAGAAATTACTAAAAATTATATTTATATCTAATGACTAAGAAATATATGAAATGAGATTGTATTAAAATTTATTGTTCAAATATAATTGTCGAAATTTTAACAATATATATTTCAACTGTCCGCTGCAGTTGTCCCGTGTTAATTAAAAATCGAGGAAATCAATTCCTGTGATAACTGTTTTCACTTCCTTTTATTGTACACTCAGAATTACATGATAGACTATATTAAGTTGCGAAACAACGTTGTTGTTCGATATCTTGAAGCACAAGAAAGTTTCGAAAGATATAACAAAACGTCTATCAATCGTATTCATATACATGTTCACGTCTCTATTTTGCTCTCGTGAATTTCGTTCAAATGAAAATCTCTTTGACGGGCCGTGAATTTAGACAAAATATATGAAAATATTAAATTTCTGCTTAAAGCCAGTATACAAATACGAACGCGAGTATTCCAGTATCTCTGATTTTACTGAATATTTTCGTTAAACACCTACTGCCCATTGTATTATGATCCATAGCATTGTAGCTTTGATCTTGTTGGATATGTCGGGTACATTTTCTCTTTAACATTAATTTAAAATATTGAAGTTAATAAAGAAGGAGAAAGTATTACGATAATGTAATGTCGAGCGAATAGAGCAATAGATTAAATGGCTTAAAACTGAAATACATACTGGCTGTTTAATTCTTCGATTCTGCGCCTTCGAATCAACATTGATTAAAATTTAAAAACCTCATTAATTATAATTTATTGAAAACTCTGTCGTTCAAATATATATATATATATATATATATAATTCTGTAGGTATACATATGAACCATTTTATTCCTTTGTATAACAGCATATATAATGTCTATACAAGACACATTTAGGGCAACACATTTATTGAAACTCGTTTAAAATATAACACTTCATCTCTGCGATATTCTTCTTACACGATAATTAAGCCAACATTTGTTTGATTAAATCCGTCTCTAATTTATTCCTGCCAATAATTACACAAAGATATTTCTTTTTTTTTTCTTTTTCTTTATATTTTCTTCTCTTTTTCAACATCCATGTTCCATGTCGATCTTTCTTTCAACGTTACACGAAACTATCATATATGTACGTGTCTGTGTGTGTGTGTATGTGTGTGTGTGTAGGTATCTTTTATTCTGAACAAGCTTCGCTTTTTTTAAACTCTGAAAATACCGTCTGTTTAACAATGGAGGGAGATATCTTTTTGCTAGAGTCGAACGAAAATCGATCGTTCGATTTTTACACCACTTCGAAAGCACGATTTGCCATTGGACGTGAAGGAGACTTGCACTGGTCACGATCATTATGTATAGTTCATTTTTTTTTTCTTTTTTTCTTACAGTTAAATACGCTACAGATACAAACATACAATGAGATTATACGTTTAATTGTCGCGAGCGTTTTCGCAAAACGGCAGAAGGAGGTCTCGCTGCTGCGCGAACCAAACAGGATATTCATTCCTGTCATCCTGATTCGTGAGGATCGCGTTGACGATTATTTGCAATCGTAAAAGAAAAGAAAAAAAAAAGAAAAGAAAAAGAAAAGGAGAAGTTGAAAGGAAAGAGAAATCGCTCTGTGCAAACGATAATATAGCTTTCGCTCGGATAGCTTTTAAGAATTAAATATTCGCATTTTATCTTGTATTCGTTGTCGAACAAAAAGATCCTGCTTAAACTGACCGCGAGAAATCAGCAGAATGAATAGTAGAATGCGACGCGAGGAAGTGTAATATATATGTATATATTTATGCACGCCGGGGTCGGCTCTCCGCGGGGCAAAGCGAGTTAGAAGGAAGTTTTTCCGAAAATAAAGTTTCCGGCTGCGGTCGGCTCGTCCGAGGAAAAATATTGTTTCCAGAGGTTGGTGAATTTATCCCAGGTAATTTCCTGACCCTGTACAAAGAGAAACGAGTTCAATGGAATTAGTGCTTTCTAGCCGCGAGTTTCTTTTTTTTCTGTTTTCTTTTTTTTTTTTTTTTTTTTTTTTCGTGCGAAATCTGTCGCGTGATTTTTAACTTACGACTCCTAATTTTTTGAAGGCCTCCCTGGCCTCGGCTTCTACGACACCATGGTATCTGCACACATTACAGAATTCGTTCTCGTCGATCGATTTGTCACCTGATGAACAGACAGGGTTTTATCTCTTGGTTAATCGTCAGCTTCGTAATATAATAAGCGACGTTGAGTGACATTGTAAGGTTAATTTATTTTTTAATCCTTGAACAGTGGATGCTCCACTGATTCATACATCTGGCAGAATCTGTTTAACTTCATAATAAAGATTTAATGTGTATTACGTACAATGTATTAGGTTGATGCATATGAAATGATTTTTTTTTTTTTTTTTTTGAAGTTTGACGAGCTAATATCTATTAAATTTTTGATTATCGTTAGTTATAATTGATAACATAGCAAGGTCTTCGAATATTCCAATATTCGAACATTTTGTTATGCGAATAGAATATTTATTAATAATAGATATCTTTTCTTATGCCAATTTATTTGACGTATTTTTCATAATTACAAAAAGAATGAATTAAATTATGAGATACAATATTGGAATATATATCAAATCATTTTGTTTACGATTGATAAAGATATCATAGACATAATTTTGTTGCAAATAGCAAAGGAAAAGAAGGATTTCGATTGTTTGAAGCACAAAAAAAAACGTAAAATTATTTATATTCAGAAAGTCAAGTTAGAACATTAAGAAATTCAACTAGTTCAATAATTGAAAGAGATATATAATCTTTTCATATATTGAAATATAAACTGATAATTTGAACATATTATTAAAGGTTTAGATAATATTGAATTAGAGTAATATTATAACTATATTAGATTAGAATAATATTAGTTTGGATATAGGAGCTTCTACTGTATTCATAAATTCATAATGAAATTATCAAAGTTCATTTTTGTGATATTAATCTATAATCAAAATGTTTTTATTCTGTGAATTTCAATTTGATAAAAATGGCTTAAAGATTTCTAGAAATATAAATTTAGCATCTGGGAAAGATCGAACCTGAGAAATTCTTTCATTCATAAATTATTTTAAAGAAATCTGAAATAATCAAGAAATTATATAATTCCCTTTTAAGACATTTTTCGAATTTTCAAATTAATAATTCTTCCAAATACTGAAACAAAATATGAAAATATATATTGAATAATATGGAAATAACTTTGATTAAATCTATACCATTTTAAATAAACTATGTATAGTGCAATTAAAATTTAGTAGAACGACATTTCATATGCTCTGACTTAATAACAATATTACAAAAAGACATTATATTTGTTAACAAAAAAATTATGTCTGAAGTACTTAATTGTAATTAATTAAGTAATTAATTGCACCGAATTGAGGATTAATAGAAAAATGAAATAGATCTAGCATTCACCTGATCGAGGGCTAAAAGTAATAAGTTTATTTCAATGGTTCTTCATATGAAAAATATGTTCAGCTCTACGAAATAGAATTTCTCTAGAAATTCTATTCCATAAATAAATCTAAAACGAATAAATTAATAATAATGAAGGGAGCTTGTACGTGAAGTGCAAACATATTTTCGAAATTTAATATCGCAGGGCTTTGTAAATAAGCTTCGAATATTTTTGTATTGATCATCATTTATTATTTCGAAAGTTTCGGTTTGACGTGGCTTCCAAATTCTTTCATAAATATTTAACGAACCTTCCCAAAGGTATTGGAAAAAGTGCATGTCAATGCTTCTTTTTTCGTTCATGACTCTGCGAACGGAAAGCATAATAAACTTACCAGATGCATCGAACAATTGGAACGTCACAGACATGTAGTCCTGTTGCCATTCGGATGCATTCGATGGATTTTTCGCGTATTCTTCCCACAGTTGAAACCATTCGTCTCGACTAACCTGAAATAAATAGGGGAAACAGAAAGTATAAGTCACAGATGTTATACTTCAGACTGTCGGAAAACAAAAGTAGCTTTCACTCGTTACTCCTTTTGAATAAATATCACATGTAAAGTTGTCATTGCAATTCGAAGAATCTTAAATCATTCAACGAGATGAATAAATAACTAAAAATGGTACAAAATGACAAATTTGTAATTTCCTATAAAATTTGTAGTTTCCTCTAGATTTTATAATTTACCATTTTAGGAATTTGATGAATTTTTCGTGAAGTATTACGTAGAGTAGAAAGAACAGAAAATAAAATAAAATGTAAAAAACTGTGCCCATTATAAATTTTCTTCATATTTTCTCAAATTTTCTGATACAAATTTCATAGTTTCATTGTCGACAGTTCCACTGATAAATTTTTAAAACGTAATTAAGAGAAAGTGTAAGTGCAGCTTTTACACTTAGATGACAATTACACTTAAAGACTTTTACACTTAAAACAATATTTTTACCTGACCGTCTTGATCTGTATCAGCTCCTTGCCTCAAGTTATCCCACATTTTAAGCAAAGTATCCCTTATACTTTGAGCTTTGGGATTATCGGCAGACCAACCTCTATTTTCATTGATTCGCTGAAACGAAGTAAAAAAAGATCCGTATAGATATCGTTTTCTAGAATACGTTCTAAGTAAAAGATGCTTCAAGTAGAAGAATATTCAAATATTATTCAATTGACAAAGTTGAAAATGAATAAATGCTTACTTGTATAGCGAGATCCAGATCCTTTCTATCAATTGCACCACTCTGATTGAAATCTAGAAACATGAAAGAACACATAGATATAAATATTATTTATATTAGAAACGTTAAAAATATCTAGTCGCAGTATTTTCGTAGAGAATATTATAAGTGCCAAGCACTATAAATTTTTATACACTACATTAATACATTCTACTCGGAAATAAAGAGAATTTGTGGTTTATACTTTGACTAGAAATTACAGGGTCAACATTTACAGTGTTTGCATTTAAATAAATGGCAGATTGAATTTTCCCTGTAACAAAGAGACATGGCACATATACATAGTATTTCCTTTTTGCAATGCAATGCATTCGTGTTAGTTACATGTACGGTGATCGGTTTTCTATTCTTACAAGTATTTCAGAATGATTCAAATAAAATGAATAAGAGTAAAAAAAATCCACTTTCCGTTTTTTGCTGTACACGCAATATTTCATAAAAATTAAATATTCCGTCTCACATCTAAAACGTATTACAAATTCGAGGTAGCCAACATATTAACTTTTTGCTCCTGAAAAAATTCAACGCTAATTTTAGTGTTTTCTACATGTACCTACTTTTCAGTTTATATTCAAATATTTATGTACACATATGACTTATGTATCCCGTGTCACGAACGAAGAAATGCCTTATCGATTCTATTCATCTTTAATCAATGAAAGCGCGTGTCTGTCGCGGCCAACTCTTCTCTCGTAACTCTCTCGTACATATCTCGTTCTTACTGGCAGAGTTGGCGCGCGAGCCGTTACGATCCTACAGATACGAGATGGCCGGATCTGCTCAGAAATTGAGCAGAGCCAGGAGGGAGCAGACTAAGAAGGGCGAGAAAGAAGCGTAGTTGGAATTTGGCACGAGACCAAAGCGGAGAAAAACCTAATGCCGTAGATAAGGTGTATAGTGGAAGCGTGCGGCGTAGGTAGCATCGTCAAAGGTATCGACGGCATTAAGATGACACCGATCCGGCGGTTAGACATTAGCACGTCGTTCGATGATGGCGCGTTAGCCTCGTCAGCTTATCGTATCGACACGACGCGTCAACGATCGAAACAAAACCAGCGATCCGGCCACGCTTCGTTGAAAAGCTGCTCGATCACGTAGGCAAAACACGTGACGAGGAATCGATGTAATGAAATATGGCCGCGGGTGTGGGTACCGGTAGCCAGAGGGGTGGTATTTTGGCCTGTATCCAGCGAGAGCTGCCGGTCTGATGGTTTGGACCGATGGAAAGAACGACCCCTCGTCGATCGTGCGCCCATTCATCGTTCGGAGCAAGGTCGTCGCCGTCCTCGCGACGTTTGAATCGGACGTCATTAGTTTTCGCAAAGTCGACCCAATTTCGCGGCTGGTGGCCCGGCTTTCCTGCCCCCTTTTCAGTTGTCACCTACAATCCTCAGGGATCCACCCGCGAACTTCCCTTTTATTAATTCTAATTTCGTCGGGCGAACACTTTCTGTTCTGCTGCATTCCCCACTCTGTCGTTCTTTCTTCCTCATTTTCACTTCAACATCCATTCTTCTCGATCATTTTTTTCCCCTCTTATTTTTTTTCTTTCTGCTTTTTGCTCCTCCTTCGCGCGACGGCTTCGAGTGGCCGTATTAAATAGTGATTGTAATTCAACGATGTAAAGTGTACAATTTCATGGCCCGACGGCGGTGAATTTTTACCGAGGTCACGGCGAAATAATTCAGCAGAACGAACGATTCGGGACGATGCTACATGTCTGCTGGTTTCGTTAAACTATGGAGATCTTTTATCTGATGTTAAATAGATTAGGGGACACATGTGTGTCTGTTTGATGTCATGCTTTCTCTGGCACGTTCCGATCTGGCATTTGAAAATCGTGAGGTGATGTTTCATTTATCGTTTTTTTAGACACTCGGAACATTTCACGAAGAATTTCATATTCGAAGTACACATTTGCTTTCAGTTACAATGAATCGCAGAAACGATTCTGGTGTGAAACGAGGTTTTGCTATTTCCTATTTGGAAGATTTCACGGATAATTGAAAATTGGAAACATTATATCTACTTTAAGTTTCCGTTGCACGAGAAAGCGGAGAGAAATCATTAAAAAATAAAATACAGCGGAGCTTTCAGTATCCGAACGCGTCCATTGTTCGAACTTTCTACTATTCCGATATTTCGCTATCCAGACAGAATATTTAATAGTAACAGGTGGCTTTTCTTGTACTAAAATAATTTATATGTATTGTCATGTGTTTTTCGCAATTGCAAAAGATTCGTTTAAAAAGAATGCTGATGGAGCATGTAAGAGATTATGTTTAATACTGTGATCAATGAATGTCAACGAACGATTGAGACAACAAACGAAAATGTTGAGAGTGCATCGTCTTACATTTAAACATTCAAGATATTTAGAAAATGATTTCGATGATATTGAAAAACAAAAGTACAGGAAAACTGTAACGTTATGAAATTACTTTTACTAAAGAAAAGTAATTCAGCAGTCAAGAAATATATATTTTTAAATATCCAGACAAGAGGTAATTTAATGTCAGAAATGATTAAAAAATTCTAGCTACATTCTCTCTAATAGTTTGAATATGATTTCTATATATTTACTTATGTTAAAAAAATTAGAATATAGAAATAAATTAACAATATTCAGACTCTGCCACAATCATAAAAGATGAACTGAAATTATTGTCCAGGCAAATGGATATTAAAATCAGTGTCAATAAGATATAAGCAAACTAGAATGATTTTCTTAATTTCATATTTGAATATATATATATATATATATATATACAACTTGACATAAGAAAATTCACAATAATTCATTCTAAATATGCAAGTTAAATAAAATATTCGCTGAAATAAAATCGTTATTCAACGCCAAACAAACATTAAACGTACTAGAATGAAATAAATGTCCCCTCAAGGCTCAACACTCGGGAAAGCACTCTATTCGTTCTGTTATTTAAAAGTTCCATCAACAGAACACTTTTAATTCGTACGTACATGGCAAGCTCTAAATAATCAGCCTGTCAAAATGGACGTACATATTTATCACCGAAACCACGACAAAATTGCTGGACTTTGCGCAAGCCACTAGCTTTCACGCGAAGATTCGCGATTCACCGCACCGTTCATGGCTTCACGTGGGTCACGGTGAAATACCGTATCGACGGCGAAGAACAGCCCCGCAGGATATGTTTAGCAGCCGATCGACGGTCAAAGAAGGGAAGAAAGTAAGGGGCTAATGAGGGCCACGAAGCGTGTACACGCCTGTGACCTCCACACGCTTCACACGAGCTAAGCCTCGTCGCGACTGGCCGTGCTAACGCAGCTTTCTCAATGTTCACTGCTTACCGATTATTATCCGTGTCCGGGTTTCTCTCCACAATCTACACCACGAGTATCTACATATTGCAATGTACACATGTATAGTGGACCCTCGAGTTCCGAACACAATCCGTCTCAGGCAGCGACGCGACTTTCCAGACAATTCCATATGAATTGAATTTCTCCGGTGTAAAAAGTTTGAGTGTTGGAATTATTTGAGAAGATTGGCAAATAATGATAATCGATAAAACGAGTATGTTTCAGTCGAATAACGAGTAACATGTTTCTTCAAACAGTTCAATGTTATCGAAGGTTCACTATACTGCTGGAAATTTTAACACTGGGAAGGTGGTCCCAACCATGAGAAATTTCCTCGCGTTGCACACGTGTGAATGGCCTTTCTAGAAAGTACACGAAACTGCGAATAACTATGAATGATTAGCTGCACGTACTCGTACACACACACACACACACACAC